TTTCAAGACTGGAAGCATAACATCATTCATAGTGCATCTGTGCACAATCTAAGTGATATTTAGGGGTAACTTTGCTTTGTGTGCTGGGTTTAGACCTCTGCCTTCATGAAGGACAGATGCCACTGTACTTTTTGACAACTTTTCTCGCAGAAAGTGGAGATCAAAGGGCGGTCTATCTCCCCTCACACTCTTTGCCCTATAGGGTCAGTTTAAAGAATTTCCCAAATGTGTTCCTCTACCGGAAAGGCAGATTCTACTGTCAGCAGGTGCTTCCTAGCTCCTGACCTTAGGATGTGGGTTGCAGACTCTCTCTTCAATTTTGCTGACCTTTTTTGTCCTGGGGCTTCTCTTTACCTTATTTTCCACTATTGACCCAAACGGTATATTGCCTGAGGCATGAGTGGTACTGTAATTTTTATGCTTAGGGCCATAATAGGAAGCTTTAAAGTTGTAACTAGGTTATTAGACATAAAGTAATTTAAAGCAAGCACATAAGTGTGCAGTGCAATTTTAATTTAGCAATTCCCTCCCTTTTTCTGACCTCAAATAGGTATAAATTTTACTCAGAAGAAAAACTAATGTTTGCTTGAACCTGCTGAGTTTCTGTGGCTCCCTTCCTGAGCCTCCATCTCTTTCCTTCATAGCAGAACTTCTAGAGTAACTGAGAGTTTTCTGTTATAGCAAAGTAGGGAACAGACCCACACAGGTTCTAAAGTCAGAGCAATTGGGTTTAACACTCATCTGCAGCTGAGAAAGGGAATTTGGGTAACCCCCTTAATCTTTCTGTGCTTCATTTTTATCTGCCAAATGGAGACTATCAGGACAATTTCCATATGGATTTATTCTTTAGCAGCTTTGTTGAGCTTTATAATAAACATATAACGAACTACACATATGTAAAACTACAATTTGATAATTTTGGGCATATATATATGTGCCTAAAACCATTACCGCTTGGCAGAGTCTTGCCTCTTCACAGGTTTTATGAATAAAGTATATAAAGCACTGAGAAGAGTCTTACAAAGTGTTAAAAATATTAGTTATAGTTATATTCATTTTTATTCATCAACACTTCTATGATTTCTCTTCAATTATACTGGAATTATTCCTGCAAATGTTATCAATGACCACCCTGCCAAATCCAGTGACATTTCTCTGTTTTTATTCTCCTAGAAATTTCTACTCTATTTAAGGTTTCTATGAAGAATTAATCATGGAATTAATATCATAAATACCTAACAGTTTTGGAGTAAAGATTATGACCAATCACTGTGACTGTTGAGAATGACATAAAATATTAAGCAGAAAAATTAATTTAGTACTGAACAATGTGAGCACCTGAGATGTGCCAGATACTAGGGATAAAAAGACAAGCAGAGCTACTCCTTGCTTTCTAGCAATTCTGAATAATAAATGAGAAAAATACTTTTAAGTACACATTAATGTAATGTAACAAAGGTCATAGTAGGTTTATAGGTAAAATAATGGCGACATTAAAAAAATGGGTCATTATGCCTTGGAGAGTCAAGAAGTCTCCATAGGAAAATGGATATTTAAGTCAGTTCATTAAGGTTGAATGAAAGTTCATCAGGTGGATAAGTTAGTAAGTTCAATTAGCAGGAAAATAATTAGCCAAGATATAAGTGTTTTGGAATGCTTCAGGGAGTTTGGTGTAGTTTAAGGGGTATGACATGTGAAGTAGCCTGGAGATGAGGTTAAAAGACTGGGTTGTGACCAGAATTTAATAGCTGTGTGGGCCATTCAAAGTATTTTGAGGGTTTCTTTCTGCAAGTACTAGGAAGTTATTGAAGGTTCTGAACCAAAGGCATAACATGAGTGGCTCTGTATTTGAAAAATACGCTACTGATGCCATGTAGAGGAGAAACCATGGGTTGGAGAAAATAGGGTGGAGGCAGGTGGACAATTATGCCACTGCTATGGTTGATTGTTCAATCTTTTGATAAAATGAGATTGAATTAAAGCAGAGGTTGTGGGTTGACAAGTGGGGAAAAAGTATAGCAGAGGTTGAGTCAATAAGACTTAAAGAGAGGGTGAGGAATTTAAGGCATGGGAGAAGATGAAGATGATTTTGAATCTCATTTGGAAATTTGGATTGATGGTAATGTTATTCACCAAAATATGAAATTCAGTGCTACAGTTGATTCACAGAAGTAATAATTAATTTTATCATGAAATGCATTCATATTATTTATAACTTATATACTGTATATTTTAAGAAGCATTTGCAGAGACGAAATTTTGCTGTTTTTGTGTGTTGCAAAATTTAAGAACATCAGCAAAACAGATTCGCTATATAATATAGCCTCCCACATTTTTCCTAGTGCAAGAAATTTAAATAAATTATGCCTTAGTAATATCTTTTTATTTTTAAAATTAGGCATCATTAATACTGACACACTGTCCTTATGGTTCAAACTCTGCCCTCATCTTACTGGTGAGGCTCATCTTACAAAAATACTGCTATGCCCACTCCTTAGACTTGCCATGTATTAACTCTAAAACAGACTTTGCCTTTGGCTGTCATGCTTGAATTCTCTATTTCTTTCCTCAAGGTCATGTGCCTTGATTCTGGATGTTCTGTGACAACAACGTTCATTGATATCTTGATATTGTGTCAGGTTTTATCAAGAGAAAAGGAAAGGCAGCGCATGGACTCAGCTTCCCTTTAAAGCATCTGACTTTGCCAGATGCTTCTTAACTGGTGACAATAATAACTGAGGGAGTGGAGTGGTAGTGCTAGGGAGCAGAATGTTTCCTGTCAGAATTCTGCCATGAGTTTAACCTCTGACCTTAGGAGAACTGTTTTGCCTGCTTCTCAATTTCATTATCTATTTTGTTCTGTTTTTTTTTTTTTAATCTCTGCTCTCTCTAAAACTCCAATCTCTAAAGGTCTGGATGGATTGAATTTCTATTTGTTTTGTTTCCAACTGCTTCTAGAGCACTGGATTTAAAAATCTCTTAGTTAAGGCTGGGTGCGGTGGTTCACGCCTGTAATCCCAGCACTTTGGGAGGCCAAGATGGGCGGATCATGAGGTCAGGAGATGGAGACCATCCTGGCTAACATGGTGAAACCCCGTCTCTACCAAAAACCACAAAAAATTAGCCGGGCGTGGTGGTGGGCGCCTGTAGTCCCAGCTACTCAGGAGGCTGAGGCAGGAGAATGGTGTGAACCTGGGAGGCGGAGGTTGCAGTGAGCCGAGATGGCACCACTGCACTCCAGCCTGGGTGACACAGTGAGACACTCCGTCTCAAAAAAAAAAAAAAAAAAAAAAAAGAATCTCAGTTAAAAAGCACTAAGAAATTTAGGAGAGAACTAATAATTTGATTGATACACAGGATATTTTGAACAAATTATTGAAATATACTACTGATATTGTTTGGGTTTGTGTCCCTGCCAAAACTCATGTTGAATTGCAATCCCCAATGTTGGAGGGGGGCCTGGTGGGAGGTGATTGAATCCTGGGGGCAGATATCCTCCTTAGTGCTGTTCTCGGTATAGTGAGTGAGTTCTCTTGAGATCTGGTTGTTTGAAAGTGGCTCCCTCCACCCCTCTTCCTCCTGCTCCAACCATGTAAGATGTGCCTGCTTATCCTTAGCCTTCCACCCTTATTGTAAGTTTCCTGAGGGCTCCACAAAAGCAGAAGCCACTATGCTTCCTGTACACCATGTGAAATCATGTGTCAATTAAAGCTCTTTTCTTTATAAATTTCCCACTTTCAGGTATTTCGTTATAGCAGTGCGAGAATGAACTAATACAACTACGTTTAGAATTTCTAGTGAAAATAAGACTCTTTCATGTGAAGATGAAGATTCATCATGAGCCCAGACTGCTGCATAAAGGGCAACTGGAAGCTGAGCAGTAACAGCCATGTCATTTTGATAGTGTCCAATTAGGCAAGAGCTGTAGAGCTCATCAGAGGGTAATTTGAAGCAGATGCCTGCATTAAGGCACAGATGTGGGACATTTTTCAATAGCAATGAAACGTGTATGGTATAGGATAGCTGATGGCTTCATCATCATTTTTCTTTCCATGGAATTACAGTGGTGAAATGCACTAACATTCAGCTGTTTTTAGGCTTTGGTATTATTACTCCAAACAGCAGGCTGTCCTCCAGGTAGGCATACCTTCAGAGCTGAGGTCATTACATTTTGATTTATTCAATCTTCGTGCCCTTTTCACAATCTGATATCTCATATCCCAGATGTGGAAGTAACAATAAATTTCTGAGTGTAGTACCCAGAGTTTTACCACATAGAACCAGAAACAGATGGGCAACATTGATAACCTGGGAATCTTGTCTGGCAAAACAATGCTCTCTCATTGCTATTGCTGAGAGTGTAAGTGGATGATTTTTGAGCATCAAATGTCAATACATCTTAAAGCTGGGCTTAGTAGATCTAACGCTTCTCTTTTCACACACACAGATTTGTTTTCTGGTCTTTGTTCTAGTCACTTTGAACAGAAAACTGAAGCTTCACAGTTTCTTCCATGTGAATAGTACCATTCATTTTGGATGCTGAACTTTGGAAATATTTCTAAATCATTTCTATCTCCCTAAACGTCTGTCTTTTCACAACCAAACCAAGTTTATGAATGCTACCTGTGTGCTAGATTATGAATTCGGTGAAGGCAGTAAATGTTAGTGTTAGCAGCAGTATAATAAATGTTAACGTGTGCCAAACAATTGAATATAATTTCAGAAACAAAATATAATCTATTTCAAGTTCTCTCCGAAAGTTGAGGTCTGATGGAGAGGATTGGAAGAGTTGGCCAGGTGGAGAAAGAGAGTTTTTTCAGATGAGTTACATCACAGCAAAGGTTCATAGACAGGATTTAACATAATTTGTTGGAAAGTTCTGAATTTAAGGGAGAGAAATCGTTGAAGAAGGGTAAGAGATCAGAGTGAAGAGAAAGGAGATGTCATCTTTATTTAATGGAGAACTGTAGAAATCAGACAAAAAATAGACTTACCGTTTCATCAATAGCAGAGTGGTATACTGAAGGCACAGCAGAGCGATGAAGATCACAGCCTAGGATTCTGAGAGACTAGGGTACAAATCTTGGTGCTGTCACTTCTTTGCTGTAAGACCACATACAGTTGACCTGATGTCTCTCAGTTTTAGTTTCCTTATCTGTAAAATGGATACAATGTCAAGTAGCAATGACTTGGACCTGCTGTGGGAATTAAGTCTGATAATGCATTTAAAGTACTTGGTAAATCCTGGCCCAGAGAAAGGATTCAATATATGTTAGTAATAATTCTTACTGTCTGGCAGTCAGAGGCTGATTGTATTGGACTGGGCAGAATGACCTTCTTTCTGAGCCTTTTTAAGGTTTTCCAAATTAAATAGACTGTGATTCATTTCATGATGTTTATTGCCTTTCCTTAAATTTTAAGGTGTTCTTTCTGTATTGAGAGGGCTCCAATTACCGACAGTAGAATCAAGGTGATTCCTAAAGCTGCTAAAGGCACTTTCTCTCGTGTGTGTGTGTGTGTGTGTGTGTGTGTGTGTGTATCTGGTTATCTGGTTGAAATAATCCATTATGTTCATTCTCTTGGGAAGGCAATTGGCTTTTCAGTATCAGCATTACAAAGTGACCTCATATACAACTTATCCAGTATAACCAGACTCTTTTGAAACATTATTTATTTGCAATGGGAGAATGGGTTTCCATTTTATATCTCAGCTGCTGCTGATTTTTCCCCAGGTAACTTACCCTGAGGTATATGCGTTAAATCTCATCTCATTATATCTGCCAATCTCCCCGAGCTTGTCATTCGGCAATGCAGTCATCTCTCCTGTTTACTTTTCTCTTGTTTAGAAGTATATGCACATTTCATTGATGTTAGATTTAAATCACCTGATGCTTCAAAGTGATGGTTTATGTCGAACCCACTCTTAGGCAAATTCTAAGGCTATGCCAATGATTGATGCTGATGACTGTCAAACTCCTTTCATGGATTCAGTCCTTATGCATGGCAAGCTCTCTAAATAAAACCAATATACTTTTAAATACATTTCTGAAAACAAAATTCACCCATCTGTTATTTCATTTATTCATCATTAGTTCATTATGTATTGTGAAGAAAGCAATTTGCTAGGTCCTGCAAATTTCTCCCATCAAATACTAACATTTTAGTGAGGGAGAAAAGCTGCAGCAAATAATTCTAATACAGCATGGCAATGATTATTACAACGGAGGCATAAAGAAGTGCTGTACCAAGCCAAGGTGGGCAGAAATTAACTTTTGAGTTACATTTTGAGTTGGGCTTTAAAGACCTCAAAAGAAGACAAAAATTTATTTTCATAGTTATATTTAATAAAAAATATAATTTCTTAATACATACAAATACATACCCAAACCAGTATATTTCAACTGCACACACACATGTGCATTGTGGTTGAGTGAATTTTCTTTTCCTGATATATCCGGACTTGTTTATACACAAGCTTGTTTTAGGATATACATAAGCTAAGTGATAAATTATACAGTCCACAGCACTATTCTCCATCTAGAATTTCAACCTTGTTTTCAGTGATCACTTATTCCTCATTAAAGACCCTCCCTCCTTCCTGTATTTGCAACATTACACTTACATGGGCACAACAGGAAAAGCCACTGCTTTCTCATTGTAGCTTCTCTTCTTGGTATGAGGACAGATATTTCCTGAACCTTTATTCTACGCCTTTTGGACTTTGACTGCCTCTTTAGGGTCCAATCCCTGTTCTCCTCTAGCTCTTCTATTTGGACCGCTTTCTAAGGTCTTCTCACAAAGTGGCCTCTTAGAACAGACAGCAGAAGCAGAGGTTCTATTACTGTACTTTTTATAGGATGCAAAGGGAGTTTAACTTCCAGTCTGCTGAGGCTCTGTTGGGACTAGGCTGTCTCTATGTAGACAGATGTCTCAATTCTTACGGTATTAAATTACTAATTGGAAAATCAGCTTGCTTTTAAATAACACTAACAGATTTTTAAAAAATCACATGTATAACAACATTTAAGAACTATCCAAAGACATTATAAAGATCTGGAGGTGGAGCTGACAAAATTTTTATGGATTCAATGAGCAGTATGTGAGGAAAAGAAGAAATCAGCATCAGCCCCTTGGTTGCTGGCCTGACCAATTGAGTGGTGGGTATTCATGTTAACAGAGGTGGTAAAGATGGAGGGAAAAGCCTTTTTGATGGAGAAGGGTGAAATCAAAAGCTTTCTTTCAGATATGTTAATTTGAGGTATCCAACAGATATCCAAAAAGTGGTGTTAGATATTGCTCTCTGTCTCTGTCTCTCCGTCTCTCCTCTCCCTCTTTCATATCCTTCCTTGACAAATCAAAACATTATTACAATATGCTGGCAAAAACATTAGCTTTGGAGATTAAATCCTGGCTGTCGGTCTCTATTTATGCAATCTAGCACATTTATTCAACCTCTCACAGACTTGGTTTCTTTAGATACAAAATAGAAGTAAAAATGCATTATTCATGGACTTGTTTATGAGGATTAATTGACAATTAGATGAACTAAATTATGTAAAGTACCTTGTACCTAGAATATGTTTAATATTAATGCCCTCCTGACCACCATCCTCCCTCTTCTATGTATCTTTGTAGAAAGATAAATGAAATTTGGGCATAATATCAGATATTCTGTATTCCTCTTCCAATACAAAACTAGAGCTTCTTGAAATACTCAGGTTTAGAAGAAGAAGGTAATGGCATTGACAGTCTACAGCTGTGATATTCATGAAAATTGGAAAAAACAAATTAGTATTATGTATTGGAGACATTATTTTATAATAAATCTAGTACTTTTCTCCCAAATAAGCATGGTAGCTTGAAGTATTAGGCGATAGAAGCCCTAAAGAAACAATTTTAGCCTGCTGACTGCCTAGCCTGAACAAATAATGATAACTTAACAAATAGACTAATTTGTGGTCCTGAAATAAGTATTTGCTCCGAGGAAAGGGGTACTAGAATCACAGGCAAATAAATACACGTTTCATCAGGTCCTATTTTCAACATCTATTCCAGGACTATAAACTAAAGGCATGGCTATTATCTAATATTAGAGAACAACTTATTGATGATTTTAATTATCAAAGGGGATAATTGAGAAATGGATGGCGTAATATATAACAGGAACCCAAGAGACTTTTTTAAATTTATGTATTTCACTCATATTATCATTTAGACAAAGATTTCACCTTATGAACTTAAAACTTTTAATAAGTGGACATTATTTTCATAGTTTCATGGTCAAAACACAGTTTCTAAATGGCGCCTGTATAGTGGAACAAAAGTGATGAACTCTTCTTATTTCAAATGAAATATGTTTTAGAGGGATTAGAATTAATTTATCACTTTTAAGATAATATTAGTTTAGGGGTTTGGCAGGTAGGAGAGTACCAGGTTATTAAAAAAGAATTTGAGTTTGTAACTGCCATTATGTGAGATACTTCTCCAATGGATGTCCAAAATACACAAGGGAGAGTGGTGAGTGAGGTTTTAAAATGTTGACGCCTCAAACATTTAATCTAGTTTCACCATAGCCAAAGGCTTTATGAAGCCAGGATTATTTAGACTGGAATTAATAGGTGAGCAGACTTTAAAAAATGAGAAATTTTAAATTATATTATAAAATTGCTAATGGTATGTGGTTGGTATAGAAAATTTGAAAAAAGGAAAACAAACCATAAACCTTTATACTGGACATAATAAAACATTGTCTATAATTCCATCATCTTGGAAAGCTCACTGTTAACATTTAAACATGTTTATTTTTAATACAACTTTCACTTATATATGCATAGAAAATCTATTTTTATATAATTGTAAACTGTATTACATGCCCAATTTGAAAAATTATTTTAAAATAATGTGTCATTAATATTATTGTTAAATATTTTTGTAATACATTTTGAAAAAGTGAGCAATGTGCTATCAAATAGACTGGTGTCCCATAATTTAATGATCTCCTTATCAACAGCTTAAGGTCTTGTGTTTTTATTTTTTATTTTTTTATTTTTCTGTTTTTTTTTGAGACAGAGTCTCTCTCTGTGGCCCAGGCTGGAGGGCAGTGGTGCGATCTCTGCTCACTGCAAGCTCAGCCTCCTGGGTTCACGCCATTTTCCTGCCTCAGCCTCCTGAGTAGCTGGGATTACAGGCGCCACCACCACGCCCAGCTAATTTTTTGTATTTTTAGTAGAGATGGGTTTCACCGTGTGTTAACCAGGATGGTCTCAATCTCCTGATCTCGAGATCTGCCCACCTCGGCCTCCCAAAGTGCTGGGATTACAGGCATGAGCCACCACGCCCACCAGATCTTGTGTTTAAATGCTAATATGTTGTGGTGTTGTGTAAGATGTCTAATTTTTAAAAATTAATCATTTGTTTATTTCTTTATGGTAGAGACGAGGTCTCTCTATGTTGCTTAGGCTGGTCGTGAACTCCTGGGCTTAAGTGATCCTCCTGCTTTGGCCTCCCAAAGTGCTGGGATTACAGGTGTGAGCCACCACACCCAGGCACAAGATTTCTAATTTTAGAAATGGAAACAGTTGAGGTAACTACAACTGTTATTAAAATTGTGGAAATGAGAATGTTCAGTGTATGTTTAAGAAGCAACTAATAGGTCTGTTTGGGCCGTGATATGTAAGCTTTTGTAGGAATTATTGCTCCAGGGTTGGGGGAGATCCAATGAGCCTTACATTTTAGGTTCAGGTGTTCAGGGTCTGGGAAGGCACTGCAGTCTGTGCATAGTGCTGAGACATATTCAGAGCAATGGTTCAGGACAATTCCCCTGAAAGGAGAGTGTGGGTGTAAATTGGAAGGGGAATCATGAGGGGGAAGAGACAAGAGAGCAGGTTATTTTAACAGCAAAATGCAAGATAATGAGGGTTGGAATCTGGGTGATGGCTGTAGGAAGGGAAAGAAAAAGACAAAGGGAAAGGTTCCTTACATTTGCTATAGTGTTCTTTGCTTAATGCAAATTAAATACATTTGGGGGATACTTAGCATGGATATTACTAGCCATTTTCTTACTGAATGCTGCTAAAACTAGAAAGTACAATATAATGGCACTGCTAAAATGAAACTTTTCCTTTAATAATGCTGTAGTCTCATTATATGAAATAAGCCAATGTAGTTACGGTTTCAATAGTTTAGAGTGACCTGCTGAAGTTTTTTTTTCTTGCTTTTTTCTTTTATTTTTTCACATTTCAAAGACTGTTTGATAGAGCTAGGGTTTTAAATAATCTGTACTGTTGTTTCTGTATAAATAATAGATCAATTGTTTGCAGTTGATGTTTTGCTAGTTCTGTTTTCCTGTCCAATGACTGCCTGAGTGTTTCCGGGCATGTGGTGATTTAAATTGTTTATTAAGATAGTTGAAATCATTGAATGTTGTTCTGTTTGTTTTACTAATAATGCTTATCAAAAATTGTTTCTAGAACCACAATTGTTTTAGAGAAGAAAAGTATTATAATATTGTGGGAGAAGGCCTGGGTTAGATTCAAGAATGTCGTGTTTAAGGCTAACTCTGCCACCATTCCTTCTTAGGCAAGGCACTTAACCTCCCTGTCCTAAGTTTCTGTACCTCTAAAGCGCCTTCTACTACTAGTTCATAACCATGGCTGTCACTGTGGTGCTACTCTTACTGTTACTGTTACCAGTGGCAGAAATCTGAATTGCCCCGAGTTACCAGCAGCGGATTCGTACCAGTCGGCAGCAACTTCAATTCTTGACTTCTCAGAAGAAAGAATTTGACTGAGGGGCAAAAAGCAGAAAAAGAGATCGAGGTGTTTCAGAGCAAGAGTAAAAGTTTATTAGAAAGACTGTAGAACAGGAAAGAACTCTTGGAAGAAATCCAAGTGAGTGCCTGAAAGTCAAAGAGAGAAAAGAGAGGCCTTGAACCTTCATCCTGGGACTTTATAGGCTCGCCTCTTTCCCGTGATTCTTCCCTTAGGGTGGGCTTTCTGCATGCACGATGCTCTCCTTACCCTTGGGAATTGAGCATGCTCAGTGCGTTTAGGGAGTTACATGCATGCCTATGCCCATCTGAGGCTTTCTTCGTTTTTCTGGTGGAGTGTACCGGGAAGATCATACTTTGCCATTTTTGTCTCTTAATGTGCATGCCCAGGAAGTTGCTTTTTCCTGGACCCTGCCTTTAATTAACACTTTAATGTTAACAGGTGTGGACCATCAGGAAATGGCCTCTCCCTGGTGCCAGCTGCCAACTGATCACTTTTAGAGAGGCAATGTGATAATTGCCTAACCATCACCAGACATTTCCAGTGGGCTGGGGGGAAGAGCCCTCTCCTGCCCCACTCATGACTAACTACCTGTAACATTGCTACTAATTATATACCTCCTACCCCTTTTATTTGGTGGTCAGATACATTCCTTTTAGGGACTTTACATGTATTACTTTCAACCTCTATGTCAACCTCATAAGATAGGAAAAATTATTTCTATTTTACTGATGAGAAGATCAAAATGCAGAGAAATTAAGCAGCTTTCTCAAGGAAAGTGGTGGTTCTGGAAGTTAAACCCATGTCTGTCCACACTGCCCTGGTAAAACTCTAAAAGGAGTAAGTTGAACCTGCTCTGCAATCAAAGAGCTGAGAGGATCTAAACCTTACGGAGTTCAGAACAGAGGAGCAGAAACCCTTTTCCCTTTTGATTTTGCAGATGGGAAAAGACAGCCTGATCTTCGTGGTATCTGGGCTGTGGTGTTTCTAGCTTTTCTACCAAGTCTTCAGATCTTTTGGATCCAATTCTATGTATTTACATTCCTTATTAACATTCACTCTTGAAGATGGAAATGAGAATTTGGGCCTTCATAAATGCTAATAAATTACACAAATTCTGAATGTAATTTCTTCCCATGGTACTATTTTAACATAGGTGACCTCTAATTTGCCTGAGTATCAGGCTAGACTGTATGTTTCCCGAACAGAGGCATCCCTATATTATCCCTCAATAAGTATTTCCTGAATTAATAACTTAATAAATACAGAATATAGACTCTTGAGCTGGTCATTTTATTAATATGTTTGCTTAAACTTAAACAGTTTTGCTATAAAACTATTGTTTCCCAAACTGGAATAGAAATGCATCAAAGAGGCAAACAGCTAAAAAATATTTGAAATGCAATCCAATTTTTATTAGTGTTTTATAGAAATGGGCTTAAAATGCTGTTAGGCAAATGTATATTGCAAACAATATACAAGACATTTAAGTTTTGATTCTTAAAGTTTTAAATACCTAAACATATCTGTAGATGTAGCTGTAGGGACACTTTTATGAGACAAGAATATTTGTGCAGGAAAATTAAACATTCTTGTAAAGAAGTATTTTTTTGTGTACAAGGATATATATAATTTCATAATTCAGGTGGCGTTTGAATAACTACCTTTGAAAGGTAAAATAAACAACTTTTTAATGATTCAGGACCAAAATTTGAGTGAAAGAAGTGAGAGAATCTTCTGACATCTATTTATTTTCCCTTTTTTAATCCTAATTTTCCTGCACTTCCTTTTCATGATTTTAAAAAATCAAACATTTAGTTGAAATTCATTGATAATTTGGTTCTTTTTCCAGTTTAGAGTATAATTAAAAACCATTCTTGGTGTAATCCAAGGCACTGCTTTAATAAATATATAATCACTGCATCATGGAGCCTGAATAACAATGTGATCTCTCAACTGAAAATGACATAGAAAATTGAGTTTACTGATACATGAGTCTAGAGGAAACCCTAAGTAATTTTGTAGGAATAGTTTAGCCTTTAAGAAATCTCTCTTTGCTGAAATTTCAAGTAGTGTAATACTTATACAGGTAATTTCAGGTTAAATTAATGCTATTTCAGATATAGCAGGTAAAATATGTTCTTAATACATGTTTATTCAATAAATGAGGTCTTTGAGTCTGATTTGAAACTCTCAATCTTGAAGGCATCTTTCATTGTTGTCTTAAAGTGAAGCCCTTTGGCTGAGCAATTCGAAGTTTTCTGTTTTATTCTTCTCATCCTGACTCAGCTGATATCATGGATATAATGCTGTTCTCACACAGCTGCCCCTTGTTCCTCTGTGAAAAGCAATGGGAACCCCTCCAAGAAGACAGAGGGCATTCCTGTTCCCCAAGGAGAAAGATGACTTGACTGACCAGCCCTGGTAAAGTCTTGGCCACACAACGTTAGCTGCTTGCTTTAGATGTTTATCTCTTTGATGGCAATATGAAAATGACTATATGAAACATGACTTTTTTCTCACAAAGTTGGTGCACTAAGCTCTACCACTCAGCTGGACTCAGTGAAGGGCTATAGTACACAGGACTAGCTACAGAGACATTTGAACTTTTAAAAAAGTTCTTTTTCAGGGAGAGTAAATTGGTCTTCTTGATATGTACATAAGCATAATCAATCATACCAGCCTGCTGGTTGCTTTTTTATTTTTTTTCCTTCTTTTTTTAAATTTTTGGTTGTTCATTTTTGATCTCTGAATCGCCCACCCATCCTTTGCATTTAAATTAAGACAATGCAGAATTTAGCAGCTTCCTAGATACAGATTGTTTGAAAAACCATAGATCGACAATAAAAGTAACACTTGGAAATCAAATTTGTGAGGGCATCAGAAGAGGACGGACTTAGGTAGAGTACAATTTCACTTCTTTGTAGGCTAATCAATTAAGTTTCAGTATACTTTGGCCAACTTGCCTAAAAAGTCTGAATCTATAGTTCATCTTATTTCCTTAATCTAAAATCATAGACAACTGATGACACAAGCTTCCATTTAACTTCACCATTTCTGTCTCATACCATATCTAGCAGCCATTTCCTATGCTATTTTGTGGTAGGTACCTTCCATTTGTCCCTCCAGCTTCACAATCCCATTTTCTCTACTCTACTATGTACTCTGCGGGCACCTGACTTTTATGGACCACCACAACATGCTCGCTTGATGCTAGGTAGATTTGGACAATGGAAGGCATAAGCATGACAGTAAAGGGTGAGAGGGCAGTAAAGTTGAGATCTATATTACCTCTGTCTCCCTCTGATAGACCAAGGTTTGTATTTGGCTGCTTTCTTGCATGAAGACGATAAGTTCTGTCAGACAGCTCTGTCTCCATATGGATCTCTCCAGGTACTACTAAGTGTTAACTGTTGAGTTGATGGAAGTGAAGTCTGGGAAGAAAAATTCAGTAATAACTATGACAGGTATGGACTTCTCATGGTGTTACAGGTCTAAGAGTCTTACAGGATAATTATATTCTTGGAAATACATATCGCTGGGTCCAGTCTGGCTTGAGAAAGGGAGGGCCAGTTTACTGTCAGGCCAATTTATGCAAGAGGTTATAACCTACCCTGCAGAGAAGGGAGACAGAGAAACATGTATGGGACAAATCCTTACCAGAATTACTCCTGCTCTTGGACACAACGAGTGGTTAAAGATGGGATCATAATCCAATGTCCCAATATGTGGCCACACTGGAACTATTTTCCACTGTGCTCAAAATGTTTACTATAAAAACATTATTGTTATTATCAAAACATTACTGTGTGTTTGTTTCCTAGGGTCCTAGGGATGCCACAAAAATTACCACAAACTTGGTGGTTTAAAACAACAGATTTATTATCTCACAGCTCTAGGGACTAGAAGTCCAAAAGCAATGTGTCAGTAGGGCCATGAGGCCTCTGAAGGCTCTAGGAAAGAATTCCTCCTTACCACTTCCTGGCTGCTGAAGGCTTCCAGCAATCCTTGGTCTTCCTTGGCTTATAGCTGCATCATTTCAACCTCGCTCTGCCTCTGTCTTCACATGGTCATCTTGTCTAGGTATCTCTGTATGTCTTCTCCTCTTCTTATAATGACCCTAGTCACTGGATTTAGGGCAAACTCTAAATTAGCATGACCTCATTCTAACTTAATTAATTAGATTTGCAAAGGCCTCATTTCCAAATAAGTTCACGTTCTGAGGTTCTAAGAGGACATAAATTAAATGGGAACACAATTTAGCGTGGTGCAGGTCACTACCCACAGAAGAACTGACCAAGAAGAGAGAGACAGAGCTTTGATGACATTGTTTGTTTCTCTGAATCCAGGTCTACCAAATCTATCCTATCAATTGCATCAGCCAACATATCACCTTTTTTCCTCAAGTGAGTTTGAGATAGAGTTTCATCAAATATGTCCCCATGCCTTCAATATAGTTTCTTATTCACTTAATAAAATTTTGACAATTTAAAAATGTGTGTGTATATAAGCACAAACAATTATGTTGGTGGAATTGTAAATTGGTACAGCCATTATGAAGAACACTATTGAGGTTCCTTGAAAAATTAAAAATAGAACTACCATATGATCTAGCAATCCCAATTCTGAGTATGCATTCCCCCTCCAAAAAAAAATGAAATCAGTATCTCAAAGAGATCTGCACTCCCTTGTTCATTACAGCACCATTCGTAGTAGTCAAAATACAGAAACAATCTGTGTCTGTTGACAAAAGAATGGTAAAAAAGCAAATGTGTGTGTGTATATATATGTGTGTATGTAGTATGTGTATACATTTATATACACACACACACACACAGTCATGCCCCACATAATGATGTTTCATTCAACAACAGACTGCATATATGACAGTGGTCCTGTAGATTACAGTACTTGATAATAATAACAACTATGTTACTAGCTTATATATTTAATATAGTATAATTTTATTGTTATTTTAGAATATGCTCCTACTTATTAAAAAAAAATGTAAAACAGCTTTAGGCAGGTCCTTCAGGAGGTATTCCAGAAGAAGGCATTGTTATCATAGGAAATGGCAGCTCCCTGAGTGTTAGTGTCCCTGAAGACCTCCCAGTGGGACAAGATGTGGAGGTAGAAGACAGCAATATTGATGACCCTGACCCTGGGTAGGTCTAGATTTATTGTCTGTGTCTTCATTTCTAGTAAAACATTTAAAAAGTTAAAAAAAAAAAAAAAGAACAAAGCTTATAGAATAAGGATATAAAGAAAGAAAACAATATTTTTGTACAGCTGTACAATGCTTTAAGCTAAGTGTTATTACAAAAGATTCAAAAAGTTATAAAAAATCAAAAAGTTTATGAAGTAGACAAGTTATAAGAACCTAAGGTTAATTTATTATTGAAGAAAAATAATATTAAAAAAATTGGGTGTAGCCTAAGTGTACAGTTTCTATAAAGTCTACAGTAGTGTATAGTAATGTCCTAGGCCTTCACATTCACTGAGCACTCACTCACTGACTCACCAAGCACAACTTCTAGTCCTGCAAGCTCCATTCATGGTAAGTGCCTTATGCAGGTGTTCCATTTATAATCTTTTATACTGTATTTTTACTTTACTTATCCTATGTTTAATGTGTGTAGATACACAAATACTTACCATTGTTACAATTGTCTGCTGTATTCAGTACAGTAACGTGCTGTATATGTTCGTAGCCAAGAAGCAATATGCTATACCATGTAGTCTACGTGTATAGTAGGCTATACCATTTAGGTTGTTGTGATTACACTCTGTAATGTATGTATAAAGATGATGTTGCCTAACATTCCATTTCTCAGAACATATCCCTATAGTTAAGTGACATAAAACTATACACACGATGGAATATTTTCAGACCTAAAAGAGAAGGAAATCCTGCCATATGCCACAACATAGATGAACTTAGAAAACATTACACTAAGTCTAATAAGCCAGACACAGAGAAACGAATACTGCATGGTCTCACTTATATATGGACTGTAAAGAACTGAAACTCATAGGCAGAGTATAAAGGTGGTTGCCGGGAGCAGGGGTGGGAAGAAAATGGGGGATTTTGGTCAAAGGGTACAAAATTTCAGTTATAAGATGAATAAGTTCTGGAGATCTAATGTACAACATGGTAACTATAGTTAATAATCATGTGTTGTATACCAGGGCTTTGCGAAGAGAGTAGCTCTTAAGTGTTTTCACGACACACACACAAATGCTAACTGTGTGAGGTGATGAGTATGCTAATAAGCTTGACTGTGGCAATCACTTCACAATGTATGTGTATATCAAAGCATAACTTGGTACATCTTAAATAGATACAATATTCATTTGTCAGTGGCATCTCAATAAAACTGGAAAAAATAGTTTGATTTATATATGTGGGTTCCTTCTCAATTCCTGCTATAAATGTATACTTTCTAATTTCACACCTATGTTTGAAATTCATAGTGATCCAGATCCATTTCCAGATATAAAATTAATATCATGAACAATAAGTTTACTAAAATAGGAACTGGTTTCTTTTATACCTGATTTTTTTTTATCTTGCTCCAGATAATTGCTAGTGTAGTATCACGCATTGGAATAGAAATTATTCAATATGGAACAGATTAACCTGATCTTCTAGGATTCAACCAAAAAGACTTGATGAGAGGAGACTCTTGTCACAGGGAAATAAGGTTTGAAGTGAAAACAAGAAAGAAATAAGTTTGTTGTCTTTCTCTAGGTTGTCTCTCTCCAGGCGTTTACTAAATATTATTTTTTTTTCTTCCTTTTTAGGTCCAAAGCAACAATAATGAACTTCTAAACATATCTGTTTCTTATTAAGTGTACAGGATTTAATGCTACTAAATTCACTTGATAGTCTTTAATGCTTCAACTTTGCTGAAATTCAAGCTATATACAATTGTTGAATTTTCTAAAATGTATTCTTTTATTACAAATTGTAAATTTTAATTTTTGAGTGATTTAGCTTTTGTACACTAAAAATAAATGCAATCTGTGTACTTATTAGAAAAATTATGCTTATGTTCAAAAGCCTAATGTATTTTATTAATACAAGTATTAAAGATGACTGTGCCTCAGCTCTGTACTTTGATTCCTTCATTTACAGCATCTTAACAAAAATAAAAAATAAAATTTTCAAAAATCATAACTTTGCCCCCAAAACATAGTGTTATCAAAATAAATGTTACCAAAGAGTAATTACTGTATTCCAGTCATGATGTTAGGTTTATCCTAGGCATTATCTTAGTTACTTCTCCCAGCAATAAGATGATTTATTATTCAGATTCTTATAGATGAGGCTACTGAACCTCAGAGTCAGAAAGGTTAAAAATTGTAATGCACATAGCTAAAACGTGGGAGGGTTGAGATCTGACATATGCTTTTTTTGACAACAAGACCTTCAATTGTAATTATTGTGCTACAGGTTTATTAAGATGATAAAATTGGTATTTTAGAAAGGAGAATGTACTGAGAATATGCAGGATGAATTAAAGATAGATAACCCTTGGCAGTAAGACTTGTGAGTTGGTATTTTTGTCATTATGTTTTTGGTTTTTAAACCATGACTCACATCACTGAACTGTTGATTTGATAGGTGGCTCAGCATTTAGTCAAGAAAAGCAAAAATATACAGTACTTCTATGACTCATCAGCGAAAATCAAATGACCCAATTATAAATGAGCAAAAGATCTGAATAAAAGTCTTTCTAGTGAAGATATGGAAATGGCAAAGGATACTGAAAAGATCCCAAACATCACTAATCATCAGGGAAGTGCAAGTCAAAACCACAGAAATTACCTCAAACCTGTTAGAATGGCTATCATCAAAAAAAGAAAATGTTGGAAAGGCTATGGAGAGAAGGGAAACCTTATACATATTTTGTGGGACTGTAAATTGGTACAACCACAACCAAAAACAGTATGGAGTTTCTCAAAAAATTAAAAATACAACTGTATATGACCCGGTAACCCCACCTTTTGTGCATACCCAAAAGAATTGCAATGAGGACCTTGAAGAGATATCTGCACTCCCATGTTAATTGCAGCATCATTCACAATTGCCAAGATATGGAAACAACCCAACTGCCTATTGAAAGATGAATAAACAAATACATTGTTGCAATATATATACATATATATGCACACACATATATACATATATATATGCACACACATATGTACATATTAACTTATTTTTCAGCTTTTAAAAATAAGGAAATCCTGCTATTTGCTATAGTATAGATGAATTTGTAAGACATTATGTTAAGTGAAATAAGCTGACACAGAATGACAATACATGACTGACTTGAATGATGACTACCAGTAGCTGGGAGGAGGGGGAATCTGAGAAGTATTAATCAAATAATACATAGTATCACTTATGCAAGATGAATGAATCCTAGAAATCTAAGGCCAGGTGCGGTGACTCACATCTGTAATCCCAGGACTTTGGGAGGTCAAGGCAGATGGATCACTTGAGGTCAAGAGTTTGCGACCAGTCTGGCCAACATGGTGAAAACCCATCTCTACTAAAAATACAAAAATTAGCCAGGCATGGTGGCGGGCACCTGTCATCCCAGCTACTGCAGAGGCTGAGGCAGGAAAATCTCTTGAACCTGGAAGGTGGAGGTTGCAGTGAGCTGAGATTGTGCAACTGCACTCCAGCCTGGGCAACAGAGTGAGACTCCATCTCAAAAAAAAAAAAAAAAAAAAAACAGAAAAGAAAAAAAACAAAAGAAATCTAATGTACATCATAGCATGCACAAACAGTTAATAATATTGGACTGTATCCTGTAAACCAAAAATAAAATTCTAAGGCCTCTTTTAATGATCTTAGTGAACTCCTTCTTGGCCAGGGTACTCCAAAGTTAACCTGAAAGGCTGATTCAGGCCGTGATGGGAAGTCGGAGAGGGATTGAACATGCCTCATTATGCTCTCTTCCCTTTTAGAATTCAGGAAAAACCATCAGCATTTAACATCAATACAGACCTGAAGTCCGATAAAAAAAACATTGACAATCTATTCTCTCTGAAGCCTGCTACCTGGAGGTTTCATCTGGATGATAAAAATTTGGTCTCCACAACTTATTAT